AGGCATTATCTACCAGTCAACTAGTAAGTGTTAGAGACAAATGGTATGGCAATAGGGCAAAGTTGCTAAAAACTTAAATATGACAAAAATAATAATACTTAAATACAAAAGTTAATATACACTTATACATAGGTATATACGTAATTGAGTTAACAACAAAGACTTGTGACTGAGCACCATCTATCGTATACTAATTTACCAAAGAGTATTGCGATGATTTTGTAACATTATTCATTATCCCTTATGAGTTTGGAGGAGCATATGACAAGTAATTGCTTTTAAAAAGGTTCTCTTAAGTACAACTCATCCGCGTACGGTACATTTTGCAAAATGTAGCGTGCGTGGTTATATTTATCCGTAACAAACTTGAAATAACAATCTACGATACAATACTACCCTATTACTCAGCGTCGCTGTTTTAGGTAACAGTACCACCTAAAAGAACAACTTTGGCCCTTCTAGACTAATGCTCTTTTGGAACTTCGTATCTGAATCGGCAAAAAGCCTGGTCACGCTTCGCTTAACACTGACCAGGGTGACAGAAGAGGAAAATATGTCACGACTGAGCGGCAATCACAAAGCGAACATGCATGAATATAAAAATGTCTGAATAATCCTTATTCGTCAGACATCTTTACATCCTGGCAGCCAGTTACGAATATAGAAACTAATTCAGTTGACAACCCAACCTACCTAGCTATCTACCGACGAAAAAGTAAACTTGTTCACAAGGAAACTAGCGAATTAACAAAACAATCTATCAAAACTAGTAGACGAGGAAGCTGAAGGATTACGAAAACAGTAAACTGCCAAAATTGTCTACTTAGCGTAACTGACGAATAGGTAAACCAAAAATCAATTAGCAAAGTTGACAAATAACGAAACTGGCGGATCGCAATTCTGACAATTTCACGAACGTGGCATTCGAGCAAAACTAAGCTAAACTAAATTCACCAGTGGTACTCTAACTCTCGAAGTCGATGTCGCAGTGTTATGTACACATGTATTAAATGAACATTTCGATTGTCACATCGGTTCGCATTCAAAAAACGAACTCAAACGATTTTAGCACCTAACTTAGTGGCGAGTAAGTTGACATTTCACGGACAGATAGATATAAGAGCAGATATAATTCAATGAAGTGTGACGTTTGTCAACTTGCCTCGCTTGATCACAAAATGAAACATACTGGTTTATCATCCTCTTTAATGACTTTATGAGAGATGAGCCTTAATTTGTATAAAAACTATAAATAAACATCGATGAAAAACATACGGTATATTACTCACACTTTGAGTAGTTATTGTTAAGTCTAATATTTATGCGACTGCCAAAAAAGGAGTGTAATATTTTCAAGGGTACTGTATCTATAATTTTTGGTTGTATAAGCTTCATTTGAAATGAATTAATTTCCAGAAATCCTTCTTTTGGAAAATGCGGGTTCGAATCCCGTCTGATACCAGGACCGTGGATAATTTTCTAGTCAAACTTTCTTCGGAATCTTTCTATTTAAATAATGGAGAAGAATAGATCAATCGCTGTCTGTCGTGTTAAATTTGTAATCAGATTTTCATGGTATATTGGGTACGGGTTTAACCTTTTAACCGACACGGCAGACGCGCGAGAGCCCAATGTTGATGCCGATAGATGTGATATGCGTATTGTACTTACTATTAAAATTTAAAATAAGTAATTAAAATTACCCGATTCAAACTCCAAACATGAAATTTAATTTTAGAGCAGTGTTGCCTTGTCATGTCTTTATACAGAAAGAAAACGAGGTACTGCTTGTCAAATCCAGTTTTAAGTTTGGCGAATCACGCCAGAGTCAGGCTCATAATATAAAGAGCATAGATTTTTCCAGCGCTTTTTGCTTGTAACCAACATTGGGTGGGTTATCAGATTTTCGTCTCTTCAAATTAGCCTGAACGATGTTTCGTTACTAATTTGCCGATGTGAGTTTCGTGCAATAAACCTATCAGGCTAGTCAGAAACGTGTCGCTGGGTTGGGTGGGCGTGAACATAAACTACTAATGCTGTAATGTATTATGGAATTAGCAGACGCCCGCTGCTTATCAAGGCCTCTTTATAACTCGCAACACATTTCATTACGTTTCCTAATATTTTTTAAGTTTATTATGTTTACTGTAAGATACTTGCTGACTAAAAGTACTTTTTATAAATATTACATTTAGGACCACTTGCGTCAAAATTAATCATGTTTAATATATTATTCCATCTTTGTCAATTGCTTATAAGCAAATAGAGATATAATAAGGCTTAAACATGATAAGTTAGCGTAAGAATTTGATCAAAGAATTTTTGTGTAAGATCTTATTGGCTCTTCCATATGCTTGAGAGTGGATCATGAATCAGACCCAGTACTCGACCAATGTGTGTTGATATAAATACTTTGTTTTGAATTTCAACGTATACATTGACCTACATTGGCAAATTCAATGACTAATTAACTGCAATAGTCTTAGTGTCAGTAGTAGTGTCGAAGTTAGTTGAGGAGTTAAGAGGTCATAAAAAAGTGACATGTTTAAATTTCATTCTAAAGTAATTTTTAAGCTCCATTCATGATGACTAATAGGCTGATGTTGTCGATGAATGATGATGCTGTCACTGGGTATAAATTGTAGTAGTTTAGTAATTTCATTATATATGGAACAACAGTTGAAAAAAAAATACCCAATGTTTATAAAAAAATAAAACTGCTGTTATCTAAGATAAGTTCTTTATCGCTTTCGTGCTAGTGAAGCATTACAAAAACATCATCACGATATATGTTATGTTTTGTATTTTAAGAAATGTCAAGAACCTTTTAGCGTGGATAGTGTAAGTAAGTGGACCGTGAACTTTACGGGGTTTCGTGCTTGCCCTTGCCTTGGCGGGCGCCACCACCGACAACTGTCGCTCGGGTTGAAGCCGGCAAAGTGGGATTTTGTCTCGCGGCTCAAATTCTACTGGATTCCTACATTCATCGTTGGTTGTTCATCATATCAGTATTTTCATGTTCTCACCTTATTCTGGGTAACAGGCCTTTATAATACAGAATTACCTTGATAAATGGATTACAATGTGTTTGTTAATAATACGGATGATGTGTGATGAAGCTGAAACTGGGAGACATTGAAGCACACACATCTGGGTAAACGTATTTCTGGCAGGAGTTTTGGTTTTTCTTCTTAGATTAAAAAAAAAAGATGTTTTTACGAGGATTCCTAGCGCTATTTTTCAGTATTGCTAAGATGAAATTTGAGAAAGACGATTTAATTAAAATCTTATTCTATTGCACAGGAACATAACGTGCATAGATCCCTCCAATGTTCACTGCGACCTTGAACTTTCTATTAAGCTTCCGTATACTGGCACCACAAACCCGTAAAAGACTTTTGTTTTGAGACACTGAGGTAATCTGGACGTGATGTTTTTTCATAGATCCCGTATACGTTACTTATGGTAAACAAATTCTAGAGTGTCGGCAATTTTAAGTGGAGTGTATACAACATCACTGCAATCGACATGATTTTATTCTTAAACATGTGATCATATCTCTTTGGGAAGCACTTATATCTGCGAGTGATGTATTAATCTACCTAGGTCTCAGACATAAGAACCATATTATTTGCGAAACGAAGCCGTGTTAGGAACTCACCACTAATGTTGATGCAACGTCCTTTCCACTCCATAAGCATAAAAATATCCTACAACGCAGCTGTGAACAGATTCGAGGATGTTAAATCCTCCCTATCTGAAGACTGGTTGTAGTTGGATGGATTAGAGCTCTGGTTCTCCGACATAGCGGCATTTTCGTAAAGATACCTCAACACCTCGATATGCCTGTAGTCTACCTATCACCTTTGGAGATACCATAGCTCATGATTGAATAAAACCGAAGGCTTTATACTCTTCAGTTTTCTGTATAACCGGCTACTGTGTATTAATATGGTCTACGGTACTAAAGCGTTTTCGGAACCCGGCGTTCGTTTCCCGCTTAGCGCAGCGCACGCCCTTAGGCGAAAGCCTATTGCTAACCTACTATATAATTTATGATTCTCTTATAGTTTTTCTTTTAACATTTTTAATAGTTCAGTCAACCTGTTAACCTATAGGTCGACAGGTTATTTACGTCCGCATTATTAAATACCAATAAAAGTCCGACGCCCTCGGTATGTTAGACCTCAAAAAATATTAAGAAATATAAACATGCGTTTTTCTGTATTTGACACTAGTTATTTATTAACGTAAAGTAACATTTTAGTCCTGTTTATTATAGATATGATTTGCCTTCAATATGTTTTTTTTGTCTTTGACGGTTCAACGAATTTTGTTTAAGTTTTTTTATATATACAAAAATTAAGCATTTAATAATACCAATAATAAGCACATTACTGTCTCTCACGTATTAACGTGAGAGACAGTAGGGGCAATGAGTGACCCTTTGTTTTCAGCACCATATAAACGGTAAAAAATGAGGAAATGTTCTAGAGTGGCGACCGCGCACCGGACGATGATGCTCAGGGGACAGGTCTCCTACCTACTATCTATTTAAGGTCGCGAAAAGTCACTGGATGCAATGAATCAGAAATAATATCGAATAAAAAGTGGTTCAAAGCAAACTGCGAGCAAGTGGGCTGGGCGAAAAAACTGCGATCAACACGCCAATCATGGGATTGGTTTGGGATATCCGTTTAACATTATCTTACCCAATTAATGGATAGCCGAATTCATTTGTAGATATTTGATTTGTCAAAATATTTTGTTATGTCCGTGTGCGTGTTGCGTATATATAGTATTGAAGTTTAGTTGTATGACTTTGGAACCATGTTTTAACGGCCTTTGTTAGAGAGTAATGCTTTCAGATCATTTCTAATTCTTTGGTTGGATGCCAACAGCTCAGGACTGATCTTTGGGGGAAGCCCATGACCAGAAGTTGGCGTTGTTTGGCTGAATGCTGATGATGTAATTAATTTCATTGTATATGTTTGTTACAGAGGGATGACCGGTCCCTCTTGGCGCAGTTCTTCTTCGCGGACGACGCCCTTAACATGATAGCGGCGGAGTTGGACTCCTTCGACGGCCGCAAGGACCCGGAGAGGTGTTCGACCCTAGTGAACCAGCTCAGGCATGCTCAGGTTAGTGACGTCATGATCATTATATTATACTTACATGTAGGTACTTCCACCTCCTCCCAACTTGACGTTAAGTGGCGGTGGAATCCAGATAGCTAAGGCAGCAGTTTTACCTGCTATACCAGTCATCCTTACCTTGTTGCCTTCATGCCTGTTGCTCGTTCACACCTGACCCCGGGTTGAAGGAGAGAGGCAACACGTGGGCGGGCAATGCATTCCATTTTTGGATAGTGTGAAATAGAAATAATGCATAAATTATATTGTTGAAAACATCTAAGTTCTGTTGCGGAGGTACCGGTGTGAGGGTGGTTGTTGAGCGGCGACGCTCGTAATATGGCAATGAATGAACATACAATATGCAAAACTAGTTTTTACCGGTTAATGCAGGAAACTTTATTTATTTATTGACGTTTTGTAGCCTTTACAGGCTACGTCGTCAGAATCAAACGTTTATTTAATTTGTCGAGCTACCTTCGAACTCAGACCAAATAAAAAGTAAAGACGGAGTCTGCCGAACAAAAAAGTGAAGCCGGTTTTTTATGTATGTAGTGCATTAGCCAGTGTTACTATAGTCATTTATAATACCCCAATATTAGAAAAATGTAATAACGTTATTTCATAACGTTATTAATAACGTTATAAAATATTAGAAAAACTATCGTAGGCTTATTCTCTAAACTAGTCCAGATTAGTTTTACACTAGCGCTAAATGCAACCTCTCGTGAACCAAAGGTCCTGCGCTTGGAGATCTGGGGTTCCTGTGATTTATAAGTTTAATAACTGTTACACTAATAAAAGTTTAGTTAAAAAATATATAATGCACAAAACATGAGTCAACACGGCTTTTTTTCGGAATATTAGTGGTATTGTTATGATCACATGATGTTGATGGATAGTCCATTTAAAATTTTTCAAAAAAATATTTCGAAAGTCCAAGAAATATGCAAAAGTATGAAAATTTAAAGCCAGCAACGAACAATTATGACCAGTGACAGACAGGAGTGACGTCATCGCAACCATAGGTTCGTTTTCGCGCGAAAATTTAAATTGTCAATTTAAAACCGCATTTTTTCCGATATATCACAATGTTTTAATTTTTTAATATATCTGTAGTTTATTCTACATGGAATTCTTTAAAATGAAAACAAAAATAAAAATATTGCATCTTCCCTATTATTGGAATCTTTAAAATATAAATTAGCTTAAGTAATTATATTAAGTTAAGTAAAAAAATACCCTTGGATATGCACACGACGTAACCCTTTTGTTGTGTAGTACAAATCGTCGCTCTGAAAATGAGACCAACAAACCACGCTGCGGGAAGCTGGTTGCCACAATGGTTCATTTCTACTCTTACGAATGACTGCAATCCACTTCTCTTTTAGATTTTGATCTCGATTAGGAAATCGTAAAAAAAACCTATAATATATAATGTGTATTACATCCCAAAAAAATATACGAATACATAAAGAAAAAAGATAATAAAGCTGTTTCGTGTAATTGTTTATCCATGCATTACAATATTCGAATAATATAAAAGTATGCTACACAATGTATTTAATAAAATAACGTTACGTTATATTTCACGCTACCCAACAAAAGGGTAAAACTGTAACGTATAATCATGGCAGCATTTCGTTCAGGTTTTGTTTACAAAGGGACAACCTCAAATTTGATTTTGATTAATTGAAAATATTAGTTTATAACTTTACTTACGTATGAAATGTGATTCCATCCTGTTTTTTATTCTTGGAAGATTGGTTTCTACACGTTTTCACTACACAATTCGGCATTTTTTCTAATAAATATTGTTTTTTATTATTACGTCACACTCCGCGCGCCGGGATAGCTCGACTGGGAAGCCAAGGCGTAGTTTCGTTGCATGTGTGTGCGTGTAACTGTGTATGTACACGGCGAGGCGTAGTTTTATCGGCTTCACTTTTTTGTTCGGCAGACTCCGTCTTACTTTTTATTTGGTCTGAGCCTTCGAAAGACTTTTATTAAGCGTTCGGTTATTTCATTGTTCGATTTTTTTATGTTTTATTGTCTATGTATGTATTTATTATTTAATTTACTTAATAAAGTATTTTATTTAAAATTCTTTTTTGTAATTTTGAGTTTATTTATTTGACCCTAACTACCGTAAACTACCACCGGTTCCAAAATTGGGAGACCTTTCTGAGAAGAACCAGCGAAACAAACTCAAGAGAGGCTTTCTATCTCCTTCTTATGTTATATAATAAATTCATACATAGACAATAAAACTTAAAAAAATCGAAGAATGAAATAACCGAACGCTCAATAAAAGTCTTTCGAAGGTAGCTCGACAAATTAAATAAAAGTTTCATTTTGACGTTTAAAGTTTCGTGCATTGACCCGTAAAAACTAGTTTTATTTAATGAGTGATGTGCGTGAAAACCTAAGAAACAAATATACAATATGCACTATAATTTGGACAACATTAGTGGGGTGGTCCTGTAACAGCGATACGAAAGTTATACCGAAAAACGTTTTACGTGGCTCTATCTCAGAGGTTAAGTAGCAAAATATGATAAAAACCTTCTGTCCGTTGCTAGCCCTTTCTTCCGCTAAACCGCTACACCCCACATATACCTACTTAGTTACACGGTATAGCTGTAACAGTAGTCTTAGTCTTAGTAGAACGGGGCTGTTTCCGCAACTCGACATCTGTGCCTATTTTGCGTGGGGATTGGCATCAGTCCTGCCATCCCAGCTCCTCCAGAAAGCTCAGCAGTCCCCGAACGTTACTGCAGGCCTCTACTATAGTCTTCGGGCTTCCCATTAGAGAAGTCCTTTGTCCCCTGCACTCCAGCAGCACATGGGCGCTCGTCTCCTCGTCCTCCAGGCAGGCTCTGCATAGAGGGCTGTCAGAAATACCTATATTACAAAGGTGTTTGTTGAAATAGCCGTGACCCGTGAGTATACCCACGATTTGTTTTAAGGCTTGTCTAGGAAGTCTGATTAACTTACGTGTTAGCTGCAGGTTTACCTTAGGAACGGCTTCCCTAGCATGCCTGCAGTCCGTGAGTTCTGTCCAGTATTCGTTATTTTGTCGTTGACAGCGCTCCCTTATCCATGTTCGCAGCTGTCGATAGGGTATGGGTACAATAGGCTCCGGACCAATGGCCGTCCTGCTAGAACCTTCCCTGGCTAAGCAGTCCGCCGCATCGTTACCCCTTGAGCCGCTGTGTCCTTTAATCCACTGCAAAGTCAATCTATTGTCGTTAGCAATATTAGTCAACTTACAGTGGCATTCATAAATTAAGCCTGATGTCATTATATTGTTGGCCAGTGCCTGTAGGACAGAAGCGCTGTCAGAGAGAATACGAATGTGTTTTCCTCTTACCTTGCGACAATCTATCGTTTCAGCGGCCTTGATGATGCCCACACACTCTGCCTGGAAGACCGTGTTATAGGCTCCCAATGCTGTTGAGATGTGTATATTTAGGTCTTCAGAGAAGACACCCGAACCTGTACCGTAGTTGGTTTTTGAGTCGTCTGTGTAGACCCTCAACTCCTTTTGCAGACAACGGTCCGGAGTGTCTTCATAAAGTTGAATTTTGTATTTTTTGTCAAATACGTACGTCTTGGGAATAAGGTCGTTTACTGCAGCAAAGTACGGAAGTACCTGTATATGTCTGCTAAAATGCTGGTGTGTGGGGAGTTGTTGTCCCTCCATAGCCCCAGCATGCTTAGTCGTGTGGCTGTACAAGCAGCTTCCTTTTGTATAAACAAATGGAGTGGTCTCACGTTAAGTATTGTCTCCAGTGCTGATGTGGGAGTGGTTTTCATGCAGCCTGTGATTGCACAGCATGCCCGCCTCTGGAGACGTCTTAACTTATTAATTGTCGTTACCTGGTTTGTCTTGGTCCACCATACCACTGCTGCATAGCTAATGATGGGCCTAATTATGATCGTGTACAGCCACCTTACAATGAGTGGTGATAGTCCCCAAGTTTTGCTAATCATTTTGCGGCATTGCCAGAAAATGATGTTGGTCTTAGTAGTAGTTTTGTCTATGTGTGAACCCCAGTTCAGTTTGGAATCTAGGGTTATTCCTAGATACTTTACCTCATTGGAGAGCCTTAGTGTCGTGTTAAATAGTTTCGGTAGCCGATAGTCGCCTAAGGCTCTTTTATTCGTGAACATGACTAATTCTGTCTTCACTGGATTCACCTTAAGGCCGTAGTCGTCACACCATTTTTCAACCACCTTCATTGCCCCCCGTGTAACGTCACAGGCGGTGCTCGCAAACTTACCCGGGATTAGGATTGCCAGGTCGTCCGCGTAGCCCACCGTGTGGAAGTGAAGGTTGTTTAGTTTGGTAATTAAGTCGTTTACGACTACATTCCATAGCAGAGGCGATAGTACTCCTCCTTGAGGACATCCTTTAGTCGCCAATGCTCTGAGATGGTTGTCGTCTTGTAGTCTGATTAGTCTGTTACGGAGCATGTTACTTACCCAGTATACAATGGTCTCATCGACTCCGTGTTTGCCAAGTGCGTCTACAATACTGGCGAAGCTTGTTTTGTCAAACGCGCCTTCTATGTCTATAAAGGTGCCCAGACATAGCTCTTTCCGTCTGAGACTGTCCTCTATTTTACTTACGACTGCATGTAGTGCAGATTCTGTCGACTTGCCTGGACAATAGGCGTGTTGGTTTGGATGTAGTGGAAAGTTGGTTAATTGGTTGTCTGTTGTCACACAGTCTTTCTAAGGTCTAAACAGTAACAGTTGCTTAAATATATAGTTGTTGTTCATTTACGTATAATTAGATATTATGTATTTATAAGTATTGAAAACCACTTTGGAAAAGAAGGCAGGAGCACTACCGTTTCACCAACCGATAGGCAGAACCAGAATTATTTATCTTGTTTATTCTTTTTAGAACGCCATCGATCATCAAGTTCTGCTATGGAAGAGGTTCTTAATTAATTAGTCATGCCGACCGTATTTTCCAACTACTTAGCAATAATGAGGGC